TAGATTGCCGTCAGAATATCTCAGCGGGGGCAGCGAGGGCTGGCAGAAGTTCGACGCAACGGCTCTGGCCAGACGCCAGTAGCTACGACTACCAGTGGGATGCGTCAGGAGTTCTTGGCCAACTCGTGGGACGCGCTGAGCATCCGCTCTGATGTACGCTCTTTTGCAAGACCTGGTGGCATTATTGTAGGCTGTTTTGTGAGGTCGTATTGGGATCGTCTGAAGCTAGACCCCTGATCCAAGCGCGGTATGCAGTCTGTTTGTTCTCAACAGCCACAGCATACTCGCGGCTGAACCAGCGGTTGCGCCTCCCTTTACTGACGAGATCCGAATGCGGGATGTAGTATTCAATCCCGATTAAGATCTCATCAGCAACGGCAGTCGCGCTAGCTGTTGGATCCACCTCACTAAAACAGCGCTGCCGCCAGGAAACGGATGCAAAATAGTCCCGCATACCGTCCCAATCTGCCGACGCATAATGCCAAATGCGGCGTTTAGCCACAGTAGGTGGTGGTGGCAGTAACGTTGCCACTTTAGTGGATATCAAGCAGTGATCCGAAGTGCCCAGAGGGGTTGGACCTCCACCCAATATCCAGCCGGGCGAGACGTCAGCAGAAGGTCCAACAAAGAGGGTGCGTCACCAACCCTATCTGGAATCCGGGTGGGCTGGTTTACCAGTTGGGTTAAATCGTGTGTGAGAGCGAATGTGTGGGCAGTTCTTCCAGCATGGTCAGTTTTAGAGGAACTTAACCTCGTGGTGAGCATTGAAGTCCCCTAAAAACACCAATTCCGCTGTAGGAAACTGCGCCTGCGCGTCATCTGCCGCCCGAGTAAGGTGGTCTATGAGACGAGTTGTCTCCATGTCGCCGTGGTGGGATCTGTAGAGGCACATGTAGACACGGCAATGACTGCCCAGGTCAACATGTACCCCAAGGATGGAGAAGGAGAGGTCCTCCAAATGACGCAGACGCGACAGCAAACATCTGCCGGGATAAACAAGCAGACCCCAGCTTTCGCTTTGAAGGACTCTTCAAGCATATAGCCAGGGTAATTCAAGTAGCTGCTGTCAGCCGGGCAGAGTATTTGCGTCTCCGTAAGGACAGCATTTCTGGTAGAGCCGTCTCAAGATGTTGGTGGACGGCGTGGATGTTACTGTGGAGTCCTCGAATGTTCGTGAACTCCACCTTAAAGAGCGCTTTAGTGGTGGGGGTGTGCACCGCTGTACGACCGAAATTTGTACTTTGCGCTAACATGTTGGAGGGAAAAAGAGGTGTGAAGCGAGAAAACAGTGCCGCGACACAAGCGGTCAAATCGCGGGGCCTGCTTCCCCAGAGACTTGCCTACAGACAAGTTGCGCTGATCCGCCGGACGGAAGGGCCCCCGAACCCCCCCGGGAATGGCCACCGGGACCCCACCTCCCGGTCACCAACCGGCACGACGAACCACACCGAGATTATGCGCGGCATGGTGAGGCAGCCTCACGAGCTGGTTAATCACGCTTGGGCCCATGTACTGTACAGCGGGCGGCCAGCGGAACAACCGTTTCTAGGGGTCTCCCTGGCCGGCGGGTCAATGCAGTTGTCCTGGCACTGGTTCGGCGGAAGCCTCCACAGACCACAAATGTCGCGGCAGCGTTGCCTCGGGCTCTGGTTGTACGCTGACTGAACCCGGAACGCATCCGACTAGCGAACACTTGGCGGGTTTTCCATCATGCGCACGGTGGTCACTAACCAGGCGGGTTTTCAAGCCCTACCACCAGTGGAGCAGCTGGTTGCTCAATATCCCTTAGTCGCCTCTTACGACACCCACGGGAAGAGAGGGGCGGTGAATTGTATTCTAATCCGTCACCGCACGGACAAAAAAAATGGTGAGGAGGCATTTATCTGCTGATGACAGCAGACAATTTCTAAAATCAGCATAGACTGAGTGAAAGTTTTCAAGATCAGCCACAGGTGGGTGTTGCGTTTCCTGGTCTAAAACACATCTATATTTTGACCAGTCGGCCTTTGACAGGTTAAATTTTAGTTTAGCACGACGAATATTCTGGGTGTTCGAACGGTCCGCCCTGTGCTCCGGAGCTAGAATAACAATTGGAAAATGGTCACTGCCGTGAGTAACCGGCAGAATTGTCCAGATGAGTTTGGAAGAAAGTGAGGGGGAGCACAGAGAGAGATCCATGGCACTTTTAATATTTTGGGACGGATAGACTCTACGCGTCGGGGAGCCATCGTTGAGAAGGCGGAGGCCATGGTTGTCGCAGATATCCAGGAAGGCAGAGGATAAATGGTCATTGTAATATGAGCCCCAGGAAGCGTGGTGTATATACACTTTTGGTGTATATAAAATCCCCTAATATTATAAGCGGGGGACTAAGGGAAGCGACAATATTCGAAAACTCTGCAAGGCATGTAAGGTTAGGGTGAGGAATGTAAACCGACAGAAACGTTATCTTTAGCAATTTGGCAGCAACTGCATTAATGTGTTCGCTATGAGGGGGAAGGGAAATCTTTGAAAAGGTTACGGCTCTTGACACTAGGAGTGCCGAGCCTCCTTGCCCGTCTGTCCTGTCATCGCGGAGACACGGAAAACCTGGAAACCGTACTCGATCTCCTGGTTTACGTCGCATCTCCTGGACTGTGAAAACGTCAGGAGAGTATTTATCAAGCAGGAATTGAATTTCGTTTTCTTTATTCCTGCTGCTTCGACAGTTCCACTGAAGAATGGGAGCCATTGGAGCAGGTGAGGTGAATGAGCTGAGACAGTTGATATTTCAGGTTGTTCGGTAGGGGGACGTCACTAAAACGCCCAAAGAGAGTAATGATGGTCGAGAGGAGAAGAGAAATCAAATTATCGTTAGGCATTGAGGAGTTATTTGGGAGTGCACATCCATTTCCTAGTTGAGAACTAGGAGACATAACTATGTCTCTATGAACTTGTTGATTATACCCTGGACTAGAAGCTGGGAGGGGTTGGTGCCTGGGAATAGCTACTGTTTTGCGGTAGGAGGTGTGTTGGGGAGATCTGAGTTGGGAAGATGTATTAAAGGGAGAAGTATATTGAGTGGTGGGTGTAGGTTGATATTCATTTAAATTAGACCTCGCTGAGTCAGCAAAAGATCTTCGCACTTGGGTGAATCTGGCAGATGCTTCAGTGTAAGAGATATTTTCTTGGGACATAACCAGTTTTATTTGTTTTTGTCTTTATTGCTCAGGGCAAGAGGGATCGGTGGCTTTATGACGTCTAGAGCAGTGTAAACAGGTTGGTGTTTCCTTGGTGCAATGTAGGCCTTCATGAGTTTGTGCACAAATAAAGCAGCGAGCCTCCGATCTGCGTTGAGTTTGGATGTGTCCAAACCGGCAGCACTTATTGCACTAAATTGTGGGAAGGACATATGTTTCCACTGGCAGAGAGATAAAAAAACAGTACACATGGGAGGGAAGTTTTTGACCTGAGAAGGTTAGTACCACTGTTTGGGTGGGAATCCATACAGGTGACCCATTACTGTCATGGGTTTTCCTATTAAGTCTTCGTGCCTTAACAATAGAGCCATTACCAGTTGGAACTTCCACTGCTTCAACTAATTCCTCCAGTGTCCATTCAACTGGAACTTGTCGGACAATACCCATTCTAGTTATGCTGTAACTTGGGATAATCGCTTCATATTTGGCTGGAGAAAGAGCTGGGTGGTCAAGAAAAGCATTAGTCATCACTGAAAGTTTTGAATTCAAGAGATATTCTGTTTCTTCCAACACGTTTGATACCATCTCTGACAATATTTTTAACATTGTTCCTAAACAAAAAATGGCCAAATTTAATGGGGCGTAATGCGGTGCCGGAAGGGGGATCCGATACTGTTTTGCTCACACGTACAATGAATGGGGCGATATCTTGTATCATGAATTTGTTTTTGTTGTTTAAGAATTTTGGGTTGATGAATGTAAATTCGGTGGACGGAACAGACTGTGAGGTATTGTTTTTTTTGGGAGGTTTAGATGATTCCACGTCAGTGGGGGCTCGTTTCCTACTTTGGATGATCTTATCTACTTCCATTACCTCAGTCTGAGATTGCGAAAACAGGCGAGGAGATGACTGAGCACGTGCCTCAGCATCGCCTCCCCCCGGATCGGGAGGATCAGACATTTACAACAAAGTTATAAAGCTTTTACTTACCAATACAATTAACAACACTCATAAACTACTTAAATAGACTTATAAAATAAGTCAACAGGGGTTATAAAATAAAATTAGCCAAAAAACGCACTAATTCACAGAACACCTTGTAGCTAACACTCAACCTAACAGCAGAGTCCCTCAACGAAATTTCCACCGCCGGCAAATATACAGGGGTATCGAGTTGTAAATTATTATTTTTTTATTATAATTATTTCAATTATCGTAATTCTTTGTTTGATTTTCTACCCTCATAGGGAAAATAAAACTAGGGAAACGAATCCGGTACAAACAGATTTTTTTCCCGTTTCTCACCAACCTGGTGACGTATGGGATTTTTTCACAATTTGCCGCCAGTAGAAATCATCACTGGCAACAACTGAGATTTTTTTATTCCGTTCGGCACCACCTGGTAACATATGGGATATTTTTCCCATTGTCTCCAGTGGGAACAAAGCCAGTGGTGACAACTTGGACTAAGCCGTATTTGCACAAAGCATCTGTGGCCGTAGTTACATGGTAGACCAATGACACTGCACAATTTCACATGTAACTTGTTATTGAGTTGTTTGGTTTTACCGATTGTTACAAATTGGGAATGCAAACTATTTTTTGTATCTAAATGATCATGGACAGCCGCGACCATGGGACAGGTCCCATCTTTATGGGTAAAGAGCCCGAAACTTTGGTTTGTTTGAAAAACAAATATAACGCGATTTTTGGGGGAGTGGGGATTTGGCAGGATTTTGGGGGAGACCTTTGCTCAGCTGTGGGATAGGTTAATTTTAAAAAAGTCATAGAGAATTAAACAATGTATTTTTATATTACAGGAGTCCATATAGTGGTTGCAACTCCAGGAAGGCTGTTTGATCACATGAGAACCAAGGAGTTTGAGTACAAGTATGTCAAGTGCCTTGTTTTGGATGAAGCTGATAAAATATTTCAGTACGGCTTTGAAGAAGATTTGAAACAGATTGTTAGTAGATTACCTAGTGAGTACTATTTGAAAATTGTAGGTATTGTATGAAAAAAAAATTTTTTTTGGTGGAAACTAATCATTGGCAATAATACAATGTGGTACACATCACAGTATTATTTTTTGCAAAGGTCTTTGCCATTCATAGACTTAATGTATTAGTATTTGTAGTCTCAAGAAACCTAATTTACCCGCCGAGACTTGAGGCCCCTCAGACTGGCAGCCCATGGCTTTTGCTAGTGTAAGTCTAGCTTTTAGCACTTTTGACAAACATCTATGACCGACGCTATGAAAAACTTCAAACAAAGTGTAAATAGAAATACAAAAGAAAAGATGCTTATTATAAAAATGTGTTGATTTTGATGTTGATTTCCATGTTTTTACTATACAAACAAAAGGAACAGATAGATAAATACTTTATTCACTAGTATGACACAAATACAGATTGAATACAACAGTAAAAATAAAACATTTTTAGTGAAATGGCGCTGGCTCAGCATATGCCTATGTTCCCTAAGGCGCTGGTTTGAAAGGAAAGATGCGTATTATAATGTCTTGATTACGATGTTGATTTCATTTAATATTTATTTACCAAACAATATAACAATTTCCACCGAAAGTGTTAACATTATTGTGATGTTACAGAAAACAGACAAACAATGTTGTTCAGTGCAACACAATCTGAAACTACTGATTCTCTGATAAAATCAGCCATGAGAGAAAGTGTGCACTCAGTGAACACTGATGAGGATGATCTGAAAGCCACAGTTGACGGATTGAAACAAGGGTAATGTTCTACTTCAAATACCTATTTATAATTTAATTTGCTTTAAAAATATTTAAATACAACTTATTTGTGTGCTTTAGGCTGCTAACAGATTGACTGCATGTTTGCAGTTAATGCGTGAAGTCGTAATCAACCTCATGCAGTCGATCTCGGCTGCATGAGGTCAGTTTCGTCTGCATGCAGTTAACGCGTGAAGTCATTATCAACTTCATGCAGTTGATGGTTCGGATAACGACTTCAAGCAGACTGCATGTTTGCTTCTAACAAGCCTTACTAATTAAAACGATAGTGAGTTTATTAATTTTACAAAACAAATATCGTTATGTTTTAGGTATGTCATATGCGAGACAGAATACAGACTATGGTGGCTGCACAAATTATTAAAGAAAACACAGAACCAGAAAGTAATGGTGTTCTTTTCAAGCTGCAAATCTGTTGAATTCCATCATCAATTATTCTGCAATTATTTTCAAGCATCAGTTCTTTGTATTCATGTTAGAAACTATTTACATTATATTTTTACACATTACATCCTTAAGCACAACAATTTTCTCAATACGTCTCGGCAATTTTCGAATTTCCGAATTTCCGAATGCACCCGAATACAAATTTCCATGTCTAGTAATTTATTAGATTCATCATCTTATTGATTTTTATGTAAACTATATACAACTGTAAACTATTTTCCATTTTACTTAATAACATTTATTTTATAACATTCACTACTTAACAATATGTCTAGCAAGTTAACAAAAATATAACCAAAATCTCAGATTATAAAACATAGGCAGATGGAGCATACGCAACTAACGATGTGAAGCCGCTTTTCATTTATTGTGTGCGTGACAACTAGGAGGGGCGCTGTAGGGACATGCGCATTTGTGTGCGTGTAAGATTGCCAGATGCAGCGAAAAAACTCCTGCATTTTTTCTGATGCTTTCTATAATACTAATGTTACAAACTGGAAATGTTGTTTTGCAATATGGTACGGACGACAGCGCATCAGACTACACATTTTTGTTCAAAAATCGCCTCCAGTGCAACGGGAGAAGATACGGCAATGTGTAGCTTGATGTGCTGTTGACTGTACTTACGTGATATTAGGATATCAAACAAATTATGTGCAATATAAGTTAATATTTAATTGTTATTATTTGATTTACGTCACACAAAGGAATAAATATTTTATTAAGATATTTTAAAATGAAAAATTTTGATAATTCAAAATAGTTATTACAATCACAGTTACACAATATCCTTAATAACCTTTATTTTGTACACGTTTTTATAAGACTAGTATTTCGCGTCTATACATCGAGCATTCGTTTCTGATTTTGATATGTAGTGCAATCGCACCATCAAACACTATTCCATTATTTTTTGACAATCATCTTCTAATTAGACAAAAATTGTTTGGTTCCCAATAAAACTCTTTAGAACCAGTGAATTGATGTAATACATTATAATATTTTATTTTAATTTTATTGACACATTATCTTTCAAAATCATTCTGTTTATGACATGTGCACACAACAATTAAAGTTCTGTGTATCTATCGGGCTACATTTTCTTTTGTGTATGTAACGTAATGGCTATTAGACATTGTTTTGAGAATAATTTAGGTAAATCTGAGTTACCTAAAAACAATTTTGGACCGCTGTGAATGGAGCAGCCTGTATGTATATGCATGCATTATTTAATTTCTATATAAAAGTATATATTATGTTCCTATCACCCATGCATATTTACCTAATTTTAAGGAAACCTATTTCAATATAAACTGGCAACACACACGGATTTATGTCGAGGTTTTGTGTTCCGAGTGAATCTCAAAAAATATTGGGTAAATAAATTACAAAACAGTTAAATAATCAATAGTTTCCTGTGAAAAGATATTCCATCTTATTTTTTGTTTTGGGAACAGCTTTTACAATATTTAAAGAGACAAAATGGCATTTTTAAACATAAAATAACTAATCACTCGTGCCGTGCAAAAACAATGCAACTTTCAAATGCGAATTCACTTTCGTGTTCAGCGCGCTCCATCTGCCTATATTTTGTAATCTGAGACCAAAATAAAGAGTAGTCGTTTCTCTATATATTTTATTAAGTCGATAGAAATTCGACGACGGCCAAAGTTTGCTGAGACATTGGTAAAATAAGTGTACTTGAGTAGCTATAACTAACAAAAAACATTTACTTTTAATATTAGTTGTTGTTGAGTTTGTTTGTCATGACCATAGATTTTAGACTCAACATGAAAGGCTTGCATGTCTGTCACGTACTGGGGCTCGCCCATACAAGGTAATGCTCAAAACTCAATTTTTAAAATGTGGGTATTTTAAAACATGTATACATACTTTAGCGTAGTCGTAATAAAGTATCACATCACGCGTAAAAATACTGAGTCGCTAACTACTGTCAGTTGTGATGTTCATCAGCCCAAAGTTTGCTCTTTACGCTAAATAATAATTATTTCGTAACGTACGGAGTTTATGTCCAATCTATTTTATTTTTTACTTCTATTACGTAGGAGAAAAACTCGTCATAATCTAGTGGACTGTTATATTTCTTCCATCTATCGTGAGCTTTCATTATTTAAACGAATTAATTGTTTTGTATACCAAATTGGATAGGCAGATATATTAAGACTCATGCAAGACGAAGGTACATACCTAGCCATGCAATCTTTAGGAATATCATACAATTTGTATGTGGCTGATTCCGGATCATTGTGTGGTAGTATAGAATCCCAATTAAGCTGACTCAAAAAACTGTTAATCGCCGTAGTTTGCCCTTTTTAAAATTACGTTTAGTTATAGGTTTAGATTAGATATTTATTTCTTACGTTTGATATTAAAATCGATTTAAATGCATTATGTCAGTGACCAAGCGTACCAGTATAAGGAGACTTACAATACCTTATGTTAAAGTCTTCTAACATTTTTATTGTTAGTTTATCGGTATCTGATGTACGGCTAATAAATATATATATATATATATACGACGGTTTCAATCGAAATTCACAAATTGTATGTACAATCCTAATAATTTTTGAATAGCTGTAGATCAATGTAGCTTGTACATGTACTTTGTTTTCTTAAATAAATGATTATTATTTAAAAATTATTATAATAAGTTAGTAGTGCGAGAGTTTTGTTGTTAGAATTTTTAAATTATACTTTTTCTAAATACGTAATGTTCTATTTTTGAATCATACTTTATTATAAACGGAAAGCTTTGTATATTAGTAAATTGTGCAAATCGGCAATAGATCTATGCGCACTTCAGAGATTTTTATTATTATTGGCTGTTAACTTTGTGAAAGAAACTAAGTACATTTAATTAATTTAAGTAAATTTATTAGTTAATAATGTTAGGAGACTTAACATTTGCTTGGTACGTTGAGTGAGACTTGCGAGGACGTAAGTGAGTTTATGTGCAACCCTTAGACGTGTATTTCTTACGTTCGATATTAAAATCGATTTAAGTGCATTATGTACTGATACATAAATTCACGTACGTTACGGAATAATTATTATTTAGCGTAAAGAGCAAACTTTGAGCCAATGCACTTCACAACTGACAGTCGTTAGCGACAATATTTTTACACGTGATATGATACTTTATTACGACTGCGCTAATATTATATTTAATATAATAATAGTATATTTAAATACCCACATTTTGTAATTTGAGTTTTCAGCATTACCATGTATGGACGGGCCCCTGTGTGCGTCTCTTGCAGCCTGTATCTAGCTTAGTGATTTTAATTTTTGTTCTTTTCTAACATGGCGTTTGACGGAAATCACACTTTTACTAATGAAATTTAGATTTTTAGTTATATTATACTCTAGTATTATATTAACTATAGGGTAAAATGAGCCAAGCGGACAGGACATCCATAATAACGAATTTCTACAACGCAGAGAAGAGGGCGTTATTCTGCACAGATCTGGCCGCTAGAGGGCTTGATATACCCGCTGTCGACTGGATAGCGCAATTCGATCCACCGGCGGACGCTAACGTGAGTAAAGTTTATTTAACTTCAATGACATATTTTTAACAGACTTCAAAAAAGAAGGCTCTCAATTCGTATAATCATTTATGTTACGCGATAACTTGTGGACCGATTTTGAAGATTCTTTTTTGTTGGAAAGACGGTAATAGTAGTGGTGGTCCCATTTAAATTTGAAAAAAATATTCCACCTGCAGGGTGGCAAATTAGTGGATGAATCCGTTTTCCCGCAATTTCCAGAGAGAGAGAGAGAGAGAGAGAGAGAGAGAGAGAGAGAGAGAGAGAGAGAGA